CATCATTTCCTGTCAGAACAATATCATCAACATAGACAATAAGAGCTGTGGTCTTACCATGTGAGGAGTGTTTCACAAACAATGTGATCAACTTGACTTTGCTTGAACCCATATTTCAGCATAGCTTGAGTAATCCTTTCGAACCAAGCCCTAAGAGACTGCTTTAGCCCATAAAGTGACATTCGGAGCCTACAAACTTTACCGTTAAACTTAGCATCCACAAAACCAGGAGGAATATCCATATAGACCTCTTCTGCTAGATCTCCATGAAAGAAGGCACTCTTCACATCAAATTGATGAAGTAGCCAATCTAAATTTGCAACAAGGAGTAAGATTCTTACAAAATTCATCTTAGCAACCGGTGCGAATGTCTCCTGGTAATCTACCGCATAAGTCCGAGTGAAGCCCTTAGCAACCAGGCTTGCTTTGTACCGTTCTATGGACCCATCTACTTTGTTTTACCGTGTACACCCACTTACACCCAACTGGATTTTTTTCTCTAGGCAACTCCACTAACTCCCAAGTGCCACTCTTGCTGAAAGTTCTCATCTCTTCCATCATGGCATGCTTCCATTCAGGAATAGAGAAAGCATCCTAAAAATTGATAGGTAGACTCACAGAAGATACTTTAGACAGAAAAAACTTTATATGAGAAGACAGATTAGAATAAGAGACATAATTAGTAATAGGATGCTGAGTACATGACCTAACCCCTTTCCTATTAGCAATAGGAACATCAAGATCAAAAAAAATCAGGAATAGGAGCACTAGAATCAGAATTACCTAGACTCTCAAGAGAAGGGGTTGACTCTGGACACTCATCCGGAGAAGAAGTTGTTGGCAGTAAAGGAAGGAAAGCAGTCTCTTGCATCCAAGTGGCTCGCTATCTGTCCTTGTCTCGGATATAAACTTTGCATGCTTCCTTTTCCTCAACAATTGCTGGCTCATCATCCTCTATCTGTTCAACCACGGACAGAAGCGGAACAGGAATCTCTTCACACCAAGGTTCTCCCTGAAGGGATGACTGTGAGACCGGGGAGGTCGGAAAGTAAAACTGAGACTCAAAGAAAGTGACATCTATGGATACAAACCATTTGCGAGTGGGAGAATGATAACACTTATAACCCTTTTTAGTGGTAGAATAACCTAGAAAAACACACTTAAGGGACCTAAGATCTAATTTACCACAAGTGGGTGAATAATTATGGACAAAGCAAACACAGCCAAAAGTCTTAGGAGAAATAGAGAATCCGAAAGAGAGAGACCCAAACAAAACTTGAAGAGGTGTTTGTTTTTGCAGGACTTGGGTAGGAAGATGATTAATCAAATAAGCGGCAGTGAGAACCGCTTCCCCCCAATAGGATCGAGGAACTCGCATCTCAAAGGATAAACAACGGGCGACATCAAGGAGATGGCGATTTTTGCGTTCGGCAACACTATTTGCTGAGGGGTATTAATGCAGGAAGTCTGGTAAATAATGCCATGAGTGGCGAAATAAGTGAAAAGACTAGAGTCAATATATTCCTCCCCATTATCAGAACGTAGAATTTGTACTACCACCCCAAACTGAGTACAAATCATTTTATGGAAGTTTTGAAACAGAGAAAACACCTCACTTTTATCTTTCATCAAATAGATCCAAGTAGCCCTGGAACAATCATCTATGAAGGTAACAAACCATCTGTGACCCAGTTAAAGACACAAAACGGGAGGGACCCCATACATCAGAATGAATCAAAGAAAAAGGAACTGTACTTTTATTAAGTGAAGGAGCAAAAAAGGTCATGTGTTGTTTTCCAAGTTGACAAGACTCACATTGAAAATCGGACACATTATTTTTCTCAAAAACAAAAGGAAATCAATACTTAAGTAATAAAAACAAGGGGTGTCCTAAGCGACGGTGCCACAGCCAAATGTCTTCCTTAGTGGATGGTAACTGAATAGATGAACGAGCCATCTTGTCTGGCTGATCCAGAATGTAGAGCCCATGTTCCTCTCTACCACTGCCAATCCTCTTTCCCGTGACAAGGTCCTGAAAAAGACAATGATCAGGAAAAAAACGTCACGCTACAATTTAAGTCACGGGTAATACAACTCAAAGACAAAAGATAAACACTAAAATTGGGAACAGACAGAAGACAAAGGCAGGAAAGTGGTGGCATGAATTAAACCTTTCCCTGACACAGACGAAATGTTACCATCAGCAATACACACTTTTTCCTGACCTGAGGTAGGGTTATACTCTGAAAATAAATTAGAGGAGCCAGACATGTGGTTGGAAGCACCAAAATCAATAATTCATGGTACAGACGTATGAGATAGCAATGCACATGGGGATGAAGCCAAGTTACCTGAATTGGCAAAGGAAGAAGAGGGTGCACATGTAGCAGAAGAAGAGGCTTGACGGTCTAGCAAGTGGTGAAGAACAATCTCAAAATCCGAGGCAGAGAACCCCGAAACATCAGCAGCCGGTGAGACAACTGGAGATAAAGGTGGTAGCTCAACCGTGTCGAAAAGATGCGCTCGTGCATTTGCCCTTCGGCCTCTCGAATGACTAGACCGACCCCCACGAGTACCAGGACGGTCTTCTTAGCCACCAGAAGGGTGCCATGCAGCTTCCAACAAGTTTCTCTGGTGTGACGAGATCTATGGCAGTAGTCACAGTAAAGCTGATCCTTCTCAGAGGAAGGACGAGAACCACAAGGCACACCATCTCGAGGAGGGGCAGCAACCAAGGCAGAGTGATCACTAGTGACAGGAGAAAGCATAGCAGAGCGGCGACTTTCCTCATTTTGCACAAAAGCAAAGGCTTCCTGGAGAGAGGGAAACACATTCATGCCAAGGACTCAGCTCCAAACAGGATCATACTCTACATTTAGGCCTTCTAAAAACTTGAAAACCCGCTCTTGTGCTACAAATGTCCGGTAATCAGCAGAATCGATGGGACATACAGGCTTGTAATCCTGAAGGTGATCAAGGCGCTTCCATCCATTGCTAAGGAAGGTAAAATATTGGAAGATAGTCATCTCACCTTGCACCGACCTCTCAATGGAACGACGTAACTCGAAAGATTGTGAGAAGTTCCCTTTCCTGGAATAAGTAGTAGCCACGGTCTCCCAAATATCCTGGGCAGTGTCCATAGACAAGTAGCTCTCTCTAATCTCCGGAACCATAGAATGGATCAACCAACCCATAATTAGAGAATTGGTGATCTCCCACTGGTCATAATGAGGGTCAGTAATACTGGGTGCCTGAACCCTCCCATCCACATATCCCATCTTCCCTCTGCTCTTCAAGAAAATAGTCAGACTCTGTGACCACGTAACGAAATTCTGACCATTAAATAGAGAGGTGGTGATTTTAAGGCCAGGGTTAAGGTTATCAGTCATAGAAGAAGGGATAACCGAACTCACGCCCTGAGATGGCTGAGATGTAGTAGATTCACTAGTCAAATCTGCCATGGAGACTCCTCAATCACAAAGCTAATCACAAACCCAAAAGATGAGAGTGGAGGAATCAGGACAAAAAGAACTAGAAAAAAATAAAGAATTTAAGAAGCCAGATTTTTTTTTTTTTTTCTTTCTTCTGGTTGTGTTTTAAAAAAGAATTAAAAGAAAAGGAACGGGTGTTGACCTACACAACCCAGACAAACAATCCAACCAAGACAGATGAAGAAGGCAGACGAAGACTCAGAGATGCCGACCGGAATCACGTATACCAGAGACGCTGTTGACAAGAACCACGAAGGCTAGGGGGACTGCCGACAGGCCCCTAGACAGTCAGAAGGACTACCGACAGGCCCTTAGGGACTCAGAGAAGCTGTCGACTAAGCCTAATAGGCTGTCGGGGAGCCCAGGTGAACTATCGAAGGTCTGGGCAAGGCTGGTGGAGGTGGGGTTTAGGCTGTCAGAGGGTCAATGGTGGCTATCTAAGGGTCTACAGTGGTTGTCAGGTCTCTTGGACTCAAGACAGGACTGCCGATAGAGGTAAGGAGGGATTGGCTAGGATTGTAGCTCTGATATCATGAAAGTTTAGAGAAGACAAAAGGTTAGGGAATGAGTTAGACTCCATTCCCTTTTATATTGATAATACTAAGTATAATATAAGGAAACACAATCACATAATCTGTTAGAATTTACCTTCACCTACCACACCTACTACACCTACCACTACCTACTACCATCACCTACTACATCTTCACCTACCTTCACCTACTACCTTCTTCTCTTCTATATATATCAATCATTGTAAACATCAAAAATATCTATCAATAATATACATCAATTTATTTTACATTCATCAATTTATTTTACGTAATCACTTATTTCCTATTCTACCTTAATTCTTATTCTAATATAATTCCTATTCTAACAGCTTGTAGTTACCTACATATCCATGACACGTGGCAATATAGTAGGCACCTACAAGCCTGAAGACAGCAAATAGGCTTTTGCAGGCTGGTTTCTCCGCTGGACTTCCACAATCCCGCCTGGTGGATTATGATGGCTATTTATGATGGTTAATCTCCCCCCCTCATGAAATTTTAGGTTGTGCTGAAATGAGATTAGGGTGCAATTGGACCATGGAGCTGGTCCTGTGAATTTTTAGAGACCTGATTGGACATTCCATGAAACTAGTAAATTATTTATAAATGCATATATTTTATCAGCTCATGGTTCATCTTCAATATTTTACAAACAGATAAAAATACAAAAGAAAAGAAAAAAGAATGAAACACTAGTTCCAGAAGCATAAAGCTAAGTTCTGTACAAATTATTCATCATAGTCTTTCGCCTGACTAAAATTATGTAGAAGGCAAAAGAAGAGTTGAGAAGCCTAGCATGAACTGTTGAATGAGGGACAACAGAAGGAATATCACAATGACTCGTATAAAAAGTTTATAAACTTTCAGAATAAAAAAGGAGCAGCAAACTGTTTGCAAGAAGAATTGGAAAAAAAAAGAGCTCAACAACTTTGAGAGTTATAATGATTTCACCTACCTGTAAACCCAAGAGGTACCAAGATGATCCGACAACATGGCCAGACAACACAAAGGTGAGAAGATTCATAACAAAATTTGCCCATGCTGACTCAAATGTGAAACCACTTGGAGACTGACCAACCATCAAAGGTAGAAACCTATACAACCTGGGAATATACTGAACAAGAACAGCTGCACGCAAAAGGTTCTTTGCATAATTTGCTCCAGATAATCCTATGAACCTTGGTATAAGCAATAATATAACAATCTGCACAATCGAAGAAGGTAATTTATGATGAGAACAGTAGATCAGATATTCAACAAAATGGAGTTTCTAGTTGCTAGTATAGGCATACATAGATTGGAGGATGCAGATAAATCATTTTTATAAATTGCATGGAAATTAATATGTTTAACATATGAATGGGATGCAGATGTTCTTCAAGCATTTATTTTCATGAAAATGATTAATTTGGCTTATTTAAACTATGAAAAAATTGAAGAAAGTAAGAAGAATATTTTCATGCACCAAAAAGAAAATAAAATTTTGGACGTCAGGAAAATGAAAAAACATGTTGTAAGGAATTCTTAACGTTATTGGGAAGATCAACTATTTTCGAAAGGGAACAGCTGTCATGGCCGGGGGACTTTGAGCTGCGGACATCTGGTGATTTGAGTGGACATCCAGCAAACAACAGACTTGGGATACAACTCTCAAGATCTCCCATTTCTAATGTCTGGTGTATTGCAGAGCTCAAAACAGCGATTGCTTTGCCCTTTGCTTCCTCATTGCAGATTGCAAACTTCTTCACCAAGACTTGTACTTATACTCACTTTCCGTTCTTACTTGACAACTAAGAAGCACAGCCATGACACGGACACACCGACATAGAAATTTTCAAAAAAAAATGTAGGACACGACACATGGAGGACAAACACAAAATATACAATTTTATACATTTATTATATGTCATATATAATAATAAACAGTTAGTGTATGTCATGTGTATGAATATTTAATTCAAAGATAATAATAAAATGCAATTGTAACCATAATTTCTCAAGTCTAAAAGAGTATATAGGTAAAAATTTATATTAATTTTCTTTCATAACTGGATTCCAAGTTATTTTATCAAAATTGTAACGTGTTTCATGTGTGTCTACGCAATATGTGTTCCCCACATGTGAACCATGTCTAAATTTAAAAAATTATGGAAGGACATGTGTGGACATGTCTCTGACATGTGTTAAGACAGAACCCTATGACCGCCGCAATCATAGCCTCGAAGTTGCAGCTCTCCTCTCATTGTTGATCGTTGCACCCTCATCCGCCATCGCAAGCTTCATTGTAATCTTCTCCACCATCGTGAGCCTTACTCATGAATGAGATCTGTAGATCTCTTTCATCACAAGCCCTAGCTGAGGCTCCACCATCATGAGTCCTATTCGTAAGACCTGTGGTTCCTTCTCGACGCAAGCACTAGCCAGGGTGTTCTCGTTATCAATTGTTGTTGTGATCTTGTCATTGGTTGTCAGTCTTCATCGCTAGCAAAAATCGTGGCCTTTGTTGGTTATCTTAATCGTGAACCCTAGTTCTTCTATACCAACTATTAGTTCCTTCTATTGAAGACTCTACCCAATAATATGAATGTTGTTTTGCTAATTGTCGAATTCTGGTTTTGAAGTTCTCTTTTCTTTTTATGGTTGTGTTGTTCAAGATCAAACATCCAAGAAGTAGATTGGGATTGGATGTGGAGTTGGTAACTTACACGTACTCAACAGCCTACACATTCTTGTGGAGTTTTCATCAGCCAGTATGTCTTCATTTTGTCTAGATCAGAACTCAAGTCAATTCTAGGTTAGGTCATTTGTCTAGTGAACATTTAAATAATTTGGTCAAGTCTGGTGTATTGAGTCATATATCATCATTTTCTTCTTTCTAAGCTTACATCAGTGTCCAATGTGAACACAACACCTTTAGATTAATATATGTGCTTAATTGACAACAATATAGATTTCAAAAGATTTCCATTTTTTCACTGAAATCAGAAACATTAAGGAGTGACGCATAGTAGTAAGGTCTAAAGTGAAAGACTCAACATGGAAACAACTAGATGCTTAGTTTACACCACTCTCACTGAAAGGGCATTACATCTACACGATAAGATAAACAAAGATAACAAGATTCTCTTTTAGCAAACAAAGACAAATGATGCTCATAGATAGCTGGTAGTCCACAAAAGAAAAAAATAACAGGGGTGAAATTTGAAGGGAAAAAAACACAGGTCATATGTTTTGCATGTAACAACTTGCATGCATGTCTTGTGATTTAGTACGTAATGTATAATATTATTTCAATAATTTTTTAGGGAAAATAAACTGAAGAAATTCAAGTCCATGAAGTGAGACAGAATACTTACTTGTGGAAGAGGTAATACAATAAATAAGTCAAGAAGAAAGTAACCAAAAAGATAATTGAGAGCAATCTTTTTTGGATGGTCAACTAATTCTCCAGCACCCACCACTCTAGATTCAGGAGCAACATATGCCAGCCGAAACTGCAATATGCAAATTAGACATATTGGCAATACTTTAAACATCAAGATCCAACCAAGGCACAACATACCATATTATGCATGCATAAACACAAATACAAAAGCATTTGATTTCACTTGATACATATAATATAATGTATTGATCAAAATATAAATCTGGTCATCGTTTCCTTTTCCCAGACTTCATTTCTTAAACAAATATTTCCTTCCTGAGATTAGCAACAGAATTTTAAAAAATACTTACCAGGAATTTTTTACTAAACCATGAAGGAATTTATTACTAATGAAAAAAAAAAGGGTACAAGAAGAATACAAAGGGGAACAAGCAGTCCACCCAATAAGGAAAATAAAGTGAGAAACAAGAAATCTCAACCTACATATCACACCGTTCTCTAATCAGCATAAATAAAAAACAAAGGAATCCCCCATAAAGGCTGGAGACACAGAAACCTAAAAGAAGGCCAAGTAACAAATTTTATCCAATACGCTCTCAATTGTAATGAATTTTGATTTTTGGATTTGAACACTTAGAAAATTGAACCTAAAACTTTATTTTGACATGTTTGAAGAATTCATTTCAACACTTTGTTAGGGTAGGTTGGGATGTGAGAGTATGTACATTAGGTTGGGGTCATTCATCTCTTAGTTTCTTTGTATCTTGGAATTCATTCTAAAACCTTAAAGTTATAGTCCGTTGTATTTTGTGATTCAGGATTGTGATCTTCGGTATCACTAAGCTTGATTTTATGTCATCTTCTGTCTAGGTGAGTAGTTGCATGCTACAAATTTTCTTAAATGTTACTTTTCACTCAATAAGTTTTCATGTTCATAACATCAAATGAACTAGATCATTATGATTATATTGGAACAATATGTGAAAGGCCCAGGGAACTTATTCCACTAGGTGTGGTCACTCTAGCCACCAGGGAACAATTCCGAGTTAGGCTACGATGACTCTAACGCTCAAAGGTTGTAGGAACAGACCTAGGTAAGGTTGGGTAAGCTTCAACCTAATCTTCTTAGAGAAAAGGCTTACAGACATCTCGAGGATGACTTTTTATTTGATGTTGGATCCACTAGTTGTGTTGCCCAGAGAAATATGGCATGTAAACTAAACCAAACCAAATCAAGCCTTAAGTCCCATCAAATGAGGTCAGCTGCATAAATCTTTCTTCTCCACTCAACTCTATCCAAGGCCATTTCGCTAGTCAAATTAAGAATATTCATATCTCTATTTAATACACTAGTCCACATCAATCTAGCTCTACCCCTTTCCCTAACACTACCATCTACCATCACTGTATCACATCTCTTCACTACTACCTCTGTTGGTCTCCGTTGTATCTGACCAAACCATCTCAATCTATTCTCTCTCAACTTATCTTCTATCAATACTACTACCCATTCTCAAATATACTCATTTCTAACTCTATCTTTCTAGTCTTGCCATACATCCACCTTAGAATCCTCATCTTAGCAACACTCATTTTATCTACATGTTATTTCTTAATTGCCCAACATTCCGTCCCATACAACATCGCTGGTCTAATAACCGTTATATAGAACATCCCTTTTAGTCTAATGGATACTCGTTTATCGCATAGTATTCCAGACGCATTCCTCCACTTAAGCCATCCTGCCTTAATTCTGTGGATCACATCCGCTCCAATCTCCCCAGTTTATAGTAGTGATATGTTGTTATCTTATTTTATGTTGAGACATGTATTTCGTTATGCTTGTTGAGATACGATAAATATTTAATTGCTAAATTGTGGAACCCTACTCTTTGAACAAATTATTAGTATTATTGGTTGTCAGTCTAATTTCTATAATATACTACTAGTTGAGATGTCAAGCTAACATGTTTAATATTTTCAGGTGAGAGGACCTAGGTGTGGTCTTTGTGGACCTGTGTTGGAACCCATTTCTCGGAGCTCTATGATTGCATCCATAATTATCATGTTATCATTTTAAGGCAGTTCATTAGTCTAAATATCATTATTGTTTGACTTCCGTTCATGGATTGGTTGTGTCCCATTTGGATGTGTTTTATCTTTGTATTGTGGGCTGTTTGTGACCCACTAGTCTTTGACTCTTGCATGTTGATGCAATCACTTTCTTCAGTTATCCAGTTGGACTTATATGTGTAGTCAGTTCTTTAGGCTTACATGTACCTTGGGCTAAGGCCCAATGGCCCACAGCAGGTTATGTCCCGAATTGGGTTGTGACATGTACAATTCTAAAATCAATCTAATTTCATTGTTCTTTCTATTCTCTATTTATATCTTCTTCAGTCTACTTTGATTTCAAAACAGTATCAACAATTTTTGGACTTCTTACTAATTAGAATACCATATCAGTAATATCACTGCAAGTGGGTATTTAAAAATAAAAATTACAAGAAAGATGGAGCTTCTAATTACAATTCACTTACAACATAATCGTGATAGCAACACACACACGCACACAAAAGGCAGCTTCCTTCAAAGGAAAATAAGAGAGTAGTTTACCTGAAGAAGTATATGGATAAAGTATATGAAATCAGTCATGCTTCTAAAAACCACAATTGCTGTCGTCAGGGCCCAATTAATAACTATGCACTTATTATCCTGCTTCCAACAAAAAGAACATGTAAATTTCAAAGTAAAATACGTGGCAATAAACATTAAGAACATCATTTGTAATAAATCTAGACAATTGAGAATAGTGAAAATCTAATGTCATGTCTTCAGACAAGAATATTTCTTACTAAAGCATATCAAAAGAATGAAAAGGTAATTAGATATAACCAGTAAACTACATAACGGAGGCAGGAGTGGGAGATGGAGCAGAAAATATAAAAATAAATATGAATATGTTGAAGTTTAACTAAGTGGCTCGAGATGTCTGACATAGGCATAGCCCATAGATTCCAACACACCCAAATAGATTAAATTCTTCCTAAGTCCTAGAACAAGTCTGGCATCACTTAGGACCCTCAAAACACCATCAACCATCTTGGTTTTTGTTAATTTATGCAATACTATTTTTTATGGGTTTTTTTTTTGTACTTTGAACTCATTCAGTATATAAATAAGAGTATTGAGATTGAGAAACCTAAACAATTCTCTCCTCTCCCTTTGAATAATTCAGTAGGTAGCAAGGTTGCCTACCTACTACCACTACCCTGTAGTAAGTGGGGAATCTTGTGCACTGGGTACGACCTTTTCAAAATAGTAGACTGAAGGTTGTAGGCCCTATGGATTTTAAAGGGATAGAATATGGTTGGATCAAAAGGCAAGAAATTTTAAACACTAATTTAGGGGTTTTTGATAAAGGTTACTGTCTATAAAGTTTGGTTTTTGGAAACGAAAACTAAAGAAATTAGATGTAGGCTGTACTTAGAGCAAATGTAATTGCACAGAATAAGAAGAACAAAGAGAAAAGAATAATCATCAAGAAATCTCACCTAGAATCACTTTGATGTTCCCTCCAATCAAATGATAACTCAAATCTTCAATAGCTTCTCCCATGAAAACTCAACTCTATTGAATTGAAAGAATAAGTAGACATCTTAAGAAATTGGCATTCTTCTACCTTTTACTGATAGCTAGAGCTCCAAGAGGTGAAACTTTGAAACTTCTAGAAAGACTTCATTCTACAACCACTAAGGACCACATATGAATCCTTGTGGCATAACTTAAATTACAATAAGACTCATCAAGAACAACATCAGCAGCATATTAACCTAAATCATACATAATATAAGATTCAATTGAACCAAGACTTGTTCAGACAAGGTCCTAAGCTGGGTGCTTTCACGTTCATAATATTTTACTTGCCACCAATCTCTCTGTCTGGAGTCTGGACCATTTATCCTCCCTTTTGTTGAAAACTCTCTTCATCTAGTTCACTTTTTAAGCTAATAGAGATAATTCATACAAAATAAAAATAATAATTAAAGCCTGCAAGAGCTGTAGAATTGTATGACTGTGCATATTTCTTTGACAATAATAGCATACCATTAGCAATGATAAATGATATCATGATTCTTACGTTCTGAAGTCCAATATTATACCAATACAAAGAGAAAATATGTCCATTTAAATATTTAAAGAGGACATAATATAGAACTCAAATCAAGTGATAACCCTTCAAGAGTAAATTTTCTAGATTCAGCCAACTTAACAATATCAAATGAAAAAATAAGCCATACCTGCTGGACAGTCAGCAAAAAGAAAAACAAGGGGTCTACAAAGATTGCAACTAGACAAGAAATGACAATGAACTTGTTCCACTGCTGAACAACTTTAGTATGAGGATTCATAACTCCAGGAATATATGGATTCAGGAAAGAAAAAATTCTCCCTGGCCAACCTTTTGCATCCCCATAAAGAATATTATGGAACTGCAAAAAGAAAGGGAAAGAAAAAGCACAAAAAATGCAAACTGCATTAGTAGATTTGTTGATTGACGCATTAAATGTAGACAATGAAACAGACAAGAATAGGAGATCAAGTAACAAAATGAATAAAATTAAATAAAATGTGCTCTAGTGACATCAATTAAACTAATCCAAGATAAATAAATAAAGTACAGTGCAATAAAGTAGCAACTCATATATAACTTTCTTGCCTAAAAAATATTTTTAAGAAATATCTTTTAATAATGCACCTTTAAAATAATTTTAGGGAACAAAAACAAAGAACATGTCGTGACTGGTTGGGCTTGGTTTATTTTGTAATGAATGTAAACCAAAATAGGCAGCGTTTATTCAAACAAAGGGAACCGAAGGTTTCCTCAAAACTTGAGTTCTCAATAAGGAGCAAGTTAGTGCATCCATTTTCTTGCTCGTTAGCGGTTTAGTTTGATTGCAGCTAGCGCCCTTCTGTTTTCTCGCTTTTTTTCTCTTAAGGTAAGCTTCAAAGCAAGGTATACAAAAAAAATTATTCCTTACACTATCATAATATTTAAGTGTGTTAACCTCTTTGTAGTAGCAGGATAAAAGTACTGCAGCATGAAACATACTGATTGAGAAATCCAGTCTCAAAGATGGCCAGGTTTAACGTGGATGCTAATGTTTTAACTGACATCCAGAGTGGGAACAACCCAAAGACAGGCCCCATTACCCATGTGAAAAGCCACAACACACCACACCACAATTATGAGAAGTTGAATACACTTTAAACCAAGCTACATCTTCATCACAAGTGAATCAATCATTGAAAGTATGCCAATTGTTAACTTTCCGGTTGGGACATGAGAATCCTCAACAAAACTCAGGAGGGAAGTGTTAAGAATTAAATTAAAAGAAATTATCATTATTAATCCAGTAGAAAAAAAGTTAAGAAAACCATGGATGTCTCAGACCACATAGCACGGGTCATCTACTTACAGTTACTTATTTTGGGCTAACTCTACTCAATTTCTGTGATCTGTACTAGAGATTCACTCACTAAAGGCAACTAGGAGTCGAAGTATAAATCCAGAACTATTTTTCACTTTTAGAAATCTTACTGCACTACGTCAAAAGCTAATACTCTGATGCAGAGAGGACACAAAACATGTCAAAAACAGACATAAGCAACTCTGGTTTTACATAAAGATTTATCACTTAAAAACTTTAACATTAACTCCAATTTTCAAGCAATACATGAAAAAAGTAATAAACAAGTTTTAAAATAAATAAATAAACGTCACCAAGTAACTAGAACACTTAGTTTTGGAAGCTGTAGCCTGCAGCGCTAGTCATGTGACAAGAGACCATCTGCATGGAAGCACATATTACAGGGAAGTTGCCTGTGGCTAAGTGATCTATCATAGAGAAACTAACAATCTGAAACACACGGAGGCAGTAATAAAAGGGAAAACGATTCATGACAGAAATATTCTATGACAATACAGCTGTAAGGAAAAATCTATCTACTTGGGTAAGAAAAACACCTTGGGGTCAAAGATAACAGAAGATTTTGAGTTATTTTTTCGCCCCTTCAAATCATAATAAGTGGGGCATGTTGTGCAGTAAGGATCATTGCATACTCCCAATTGCCCAGACTTCAATAGATGTTCATTTTTGCCAGGATAGTTGTCCGGCCAACCATCCTGATCCATTCCCTTAAAAGAATGATATTTGTCCACTGTAGGCTCAGTTGTCTTGCGCCCAATTGTACCTTGGGTAGGTCGAAAGAGGTTCTCATGGTTACGGCTAATATATAAAGGACCACTCATCTGTATGAATGAAGTTCTTCTTTCATTCCGCAAGGGACCAGTATAACCTATGAAATTATCTCCATTTTCATAGGGCTCCATGGAATTCCTAGAAATAGACATTGATGCACTTCGATATCTGGATGAAAACCCCTGGAAATTGGTTTCCTCTTGTTCATCGCCTTGTGAATACATGTCTGATAGCATTGGTACCTCATCCTTCTCAAAATCAACCATCTCTCTTGTAGTAGAACTGAAAGAGACACATGTTGAATAGCAAGATGACGATCAACAGACAAAGATGACACCATAAGAAAAAGAATTTAATATAAGGCATGAAGGAATGCAAAGACATACCGAAAGGTCAAAAATCAAAAGAATTCAAGATAATTATAAAATGGCATAAATAAAAATATTAAGTTAAAATTGAAATAGTAATCACATGGAATACCAATCTAGTATCCATCCACAAATGTTCGAATCAAGCAGAGTTCTTCAGTCTAGCTTATAAATTGAACTGGGAAATCAACTTTTTAGAAACTACAAGTAGAAGAGCTACTATCCTTTGACTTGAAGAATTCAATTTACGTTCTTTTAAACTAAAAACAACCTTCAGTTAGACGACTCCATCCAAGTTTTCTCATGAAAGGAGAATACCATTTTTATCCGATATGAGAGGGAAAAGACTACCATTCTCTTTGTCACATATATGGAAGAAAAAATAAAGGTCTAAACGATTTTTTAATTTGATTTGAATACATATAAACTCAATAGCCAGTTTTCATTCGATAAAAATTAATGCATCTTAGCAAAGTGGCCTGATTCCAACAATTCAGCCACCAAACTCATCTATGTAGCTCTATACAAACCACATCCTTGGTTAAATGAAGCGGATATAGAAAGCATAATGAGATAATTAAGTTTGATTAACAGATAAAAGACAATTGTTCAATGGGTAAATTATACAAATAGTCCCTAATTCATTTTAGTCATTAATCTTTAATTTGTATCAATTACATCCCTAAGCTTTATACATTAATTCAATGTGGTCCCTTCCCAAAACTATCGTTAACTTTAGATGGAAAATGCTGACATCATGATTTTATTAGGCTTTGAACAGTCTATTTATGCCAAATAAAATTGATAGAAAAGCCAAAGTAGCCAAACACAAAGTGCAGTTACTTCTCTACAATTTTAGGGACGCAGTAAGTCACAAGCAAAAATTGGGGTTTGGGGGAACTTCAGGGATTTCCTCAGCAAATTAGAAACACAATTGACATAAAATTAACCTGTCGCAATAAGGAATGGAAGATTTGGATGTTTTTATTTCATAAATAATGTGCATTTTACATGTTGCATGATTCATTTTAGGCAAGAAATTGGATAAATTATTCTCAATGTTTGTCAAATGCCAAATATAAAACCGCTATAATTACGTCATCATCAATTTTTGTCTAAAATTAACAGAAGGGTTAAATTACACTTTTGATCCTTCAACATTCACCTGAATTTCATTTTGGACCCTCACCTTTTAATTTCAACAAGGACCTTAAATTTCAACTTAAGTTTCAATATAGTCCTCCCATTACTTCACCATTTAAAATTTGAGTAAAAGTTGAAACATAAAGGACCAAAGCGAAATTTGAGTGACAGTTGGAAGATAAAAGGTGTAATATTTTTTCCTCTAAAGCGTGCTCATGTGGCAACCACATGAGCACTTTTTGTCCAAGAGTTTAAGTCTGAGAACTTAATTGTTACAATTACCAACTGAGGGGCTAAAGTAAAATTTGAATGAAGGTTGAAGGGTGAAAAGCATAATTTATCATAACAGAAATTATAGAAAGGGACCACATTAAATTCATGTGAAGTTTTGAGATGTACGCTCCGCATTTTTTGGCGTTTGGTACAACAAAAAATGAAAGTCAACAGAAAATATTTCACTTTTAAAGGTGAAAAACGTATACCGGACTGAACCCTTATCATTGCTGCCACCCCATCACCTCCACTCTGTTGCCACCACCACCGCCATCAATACAACAATTAGTACATTAGCTTCAAGGACGCAACCAAATATGGGAAAATGTTTTCCATCGAAATAAACGGAGCAGTAATTCATACAAATTAGAGATTGAGGACCAAAATGAAATAGGTAGTATACTTTAAGAACTATTTGTATAATTTACTCTTGTTCAGTAAACTTCGATTCATATGAAGAAATTTTTTCAATAAGCATAGATGATAGGGAAATTCTATAATGCACACCCCAAAGAAAGGGGTACCATATGCCCCGGTTACAAATTTTTATGATTTTTGGTTACGACTTATTGTGCCGTTGAGTTGATTATGACTTAGTTATGACCTAGTCTGATTGTTATTTTGGTCATGTCTCAAGTGTCGTTTGGTTATGACCCATCGTTGTGTTGGTTATGACTCATTTCTTGATTTGGTTATGGCCAAAGAAGTATTGGGTTGCACTTCAAGTAATGTTCAATTATGATATATTGTGATCCTTCTAGTTACGACTGAAAGTTCCTTGATTATAATGCCAAATGATATCAAAACCACGAAAAGTCATAATACCCAAAATAGGGTGTATTGTAGAAGCACCGTAGAAGTTAGGAAAGATTCCGTACAACCAACAAACATCAGAGGGTAATGAGAGAAATTAAGGATGATTAGTAATAAATGAAACCAGTAATCAAAGACAAAAATTGAAGAAGAAATGAACAAATAATAATAGCAATTTTATCAAAGAAATTATTATTATTTTTATTTTTGTTTTTTTTCCAAACAAACCTGCCTTCAGCTGAATTCCCTTGTTATGAACTCTTAAAACTCCATCATCCTCGCCAATTGCACACTACCAGCAGAAACCAAACACACACACACACAGAGTGGTGGGTGGTTCGATTCAATCAATTATGAAGAATGGCAACGACTGAAACGATCGAAATTTCAGAGAGAGAGACAGAGAGAGAGTAAACGCATTGACTCAAAAGGGGAGAGAGATAGTGAGGGAACATCCGAGGAAGCGAAGAAAAGGTGGAACAACAAAGAAGCTTCGCTTGGCTTGGCACGTAGAGAGAGAGAGAGAGAGAGATTGGACTTTAGAGAGAAGTCATCTAGCGGGTCGATTGGTGGACTCCGTCGCCTGGAAGTGCACCCGGTAGGCAGGCGCTAACGTGGACACGGATACACACTACACGCAAACTACCCTTTTTAATATATTTCTAGAAGCCTCCTATTTGTATACACCCATCGCATTCTACGCACATCTTTCTTAATAAATAATTTATTTGAAAGTAATATTTTGAAAATAAATAACTTTTTTAAAAGTAAAATTTTAAAAATAATCATTTCTTTTGACAATAAAATTTTAAATTTTTTTCATTTTTTCAACATTTAATTTCTGAATGTGTTTATTTGAATTGTATGTGATGTCTAGAATAATAATTTCACTTAAAAATAAAATTATAATAAAAATAATTATCATTAAGTGTGTGCACAGAGTGAATTGGGTGTGTGCAAATAAAAGCTCTCATATTTCTATATTCATTTATGGCTAAATTACAAATATATCATTAAAAATTTAATTAAAATACCAATCGTCCTTATAGTTGTAAAAATTATATTTCACCCTCTTGAGATTTCTAATTTTATAACAAATCGTTTCTTTATTAATAAATTATCAAGTCAATTAATATTTTTTAATAATGATAAAAATATGTTTTAATTAATAATTAAGTAATTTTATTATTGTATAGGAGAGTAATTATAAATTTCATTTTTTAATTACTTCTGTTAAATAAAAAATTCTAATAAAAGAGTATTTATAATTTTTCAAATCACAGAGAATAATTTGTACTTTAAGCAAATCTCAGGATGTATATTTGTAATTTACCCTTCGTATATTAATGTTGTGTGTGGTTAAGAATTTGAAAATTGAAAGGAAAAAAGTAAATAAAATATGAAAAAAATTGTAATGACCCCAAAAAAAAATTAAATTAAATAGCCAGCTCATAATTTAATTGGGCAAATTTTTGAATTTGATTGCCATGTAAATTCTGTGCGAAAATAGTTCAGTTTTGTATTTTTTAAAAATAGTTTCCGATCTCAGAAAATTATGAATTTTTATATGTTGTTCACATATGAGTCTAGCACGTTAGATAAAATTTTCAGAATTTAATGATAAGTATTTATTTTATGAAAATTCACGGACTGATTGGTGTTCAGTTTAATTTATAGCATAATTGAAAATTGAGTTTTTGGTGTTCGAACCATGATTTGAGATAAATTTGTTGGATTTATTTTGGTATATAATTGGACCATATTTGACTTATGGGTGAGACCCATGACTTAGATTTAATTTAAATTGAGCTTATTTAATGACTCACGTTTAACTGTTTGGTCCTTTTAAAATGTGATTGGTAATAACCACCTTGAGAGTTATTATTATTTATTATATAGGATTATAATAAATATTTGATAGTTGATTTTATGGTGTGTACCATATGGTGAAAAATTATATATTTTTGTAGTAAATAAAATAGGCGTATATTTCGTGGTGAGCAAAGTATTATATTTTGTGACGTGTACAAGCAAACGAAATATATTTTGTGGTGAAGAAATAATGATATCATTTTATAAATTAGGTCATAAAATCTCACAAAGTTGTTAATTGTACTTTTAATTATATACATAGAGAGAGATGGATATATATTGTGGGGACATAAATTTTGAATGATGACACGTGGCCGAGGTGTCACCGAAGTGCCAGCGGGGGTGCCACGTGTCCCGGTCATGATGCCGAGATGATCTCGGCTAGGTCGAGGTTATATGCGATAATACCGGAATCCGGGATAAGCGGATAAGGGACAAGAGTTCTAGAATGGGAGAAGACTTCAGTTTGGGTAAAGAAAAGACTCTTAGAGAGTTTATCATAATCTTACTGGGAGTACAAGATTAGCAGTAATTCTAAGTCCATTGAAGTTACACTTCTATTGGGATTAGGATTATGTTGGCTATAAAAGGGAGGCACCCCCATGGGTCGAAGGTATGTTTTTATGTTCTGAATAATGAGTTAAGCACTTTTGCTATCTTTGGGAGATATTTTACTGACTTGATCGTCGGAGTGCCCCCGGGTGGACGAACCACCGCCGGAATCTCTTCTTTTCTATGACAGGTCATTCAGGCGTCATCTATTCTGCTAGTGCTCTCCAGTTGAATACTAATTTGACAGTGTGATCAGAAATCAACACACACAATTTGGTGCCGTCTGTGGAAAAGAAAGGAAAATAGATGACCAATGACAGACATAAAGAGAAGGTTGGGGACGGCATTCATACTGGGAGTAGAAAACATATTGACCTTGACGTCAAAGAAGACAACTGCAACGAAGAGAATCGTGATAAGAATCACAGAGAAAAGGACGTCGGCTAGTGTAACAACCCCGATCCATGATTAATTACTAATCTGTGATTAAGGGCACTAATCAAGTGATTAAAATAATTATATGTTAATTGTGTATTTTTGCATGCTATTCGATTTTCTATCTGTAAATCATAGTAACATCTGTTGCAATTTCCGCTTAGAATATTAATTTGATAGCCTGATTGATGTCAGAAATGGGAATTGACCGCATGGTTAGACTAATTAGAATTTTTAGAACACTATGGTGAGTTTAATTAAAAAATTGATTCAGTTCTGTAAAATCACATGTGATTGATTTAAGCCTTAATTAGAACAGTTTGGGGTTAACTGAGTCATGTGCTAACCATAATTAATTAAGGTTACTTGTGTTTAATAAGATGATGCATGATTTATGCCTAATCTACTCCTATTCATGATTCAAGATGGGATTAAGTGTTGATGTGCTAAGGCATTTGGTGATATTGAATGTAGAGGATTAAAACTCTTGTGAGTGTGTTGGATTAATGCATGTGTGTGCACGTGTTGTGTATTCAAATGTGAGGTGTGTGTTGTGTATTTTCTGATGAGAGTTGAGGGAGTATTGTACCATTCCTTTTCTCATGTGGTCCTTGTGTAGAGAGAGAGAGAGAGAGCTCAAGTTAGAAGAAGAAGAAGGGAACTAGGAAGACCATCTCTTGTTGTTTGAAATCAAAGCTCTAGGTAAGAGTCTTGAGCATATTTTCTGCAGCTAACTTCCATGCATCATGATTTCAACATATCTTTGAACCATTTTCATGACATTAGCAAGAGAAGTGGGTCTTTGGGCTTGTAGATGTCTTGCATGTGCATCCTTGGAGATTAACCTTTTGGTTCCATCATTTTTGAGTTAGAGTTTTGAAGTCATTGCAAGCTTGTGAGTTCATATCTTGCATAATGTTTTGGAAATTCATGGATTCATACCAACCATTTGCATGTTTTGAAGAAATCAAGAAAATAGTTTGAAAATCTTTCATACATGAGCTTTTAAGTTCAAATTTGCTAAATCCACGAGTGTTGAGCTAAAGGTTTGAAAATGATCATATATGTGTGTTTTAGAAAAGTTTTCCAAGTGTTTTGATCAAGCTGTGCATGAGTGTAGCCATTAAATTGCATTTTGAAGCTCAGAACTCTGTTTTTGGAAACCCAGAATTTCACAGTCCGATCGAGCGAGGAAACCTGCACTCGACCGGAGAATGCGAGCTCTCAGTATTTTTTTTCAGACATGAGGTCTCCGCTCGAGCGACCACTTAGATGCTCGAGCGAACCCTTTGCATGTTGTCGATCCGCTCGAGCGTGGATTACGACCAACCAGTACTTTTTCCAAGTTTACAGGTCGCTCGAGCAAAGGAAGTCACGCTCGAGCGACCCCTCTCATTTTGCATGTCCGCTTGAGCGAGAAAAGCTACGCTCGAGCGGGGACCTCATTTTCAGAAATTTTGCCTAAGTGTCCCAATGCATGTTTTGGCATCTTCATTGCATCTTAGGCATTCCTAAGCCTTACTTAAGCCATAGTAATGAGGTTATGGATTAGAAACACACTAAGGAAAGAATGTACTAAGTTAAGGGAATGCAAGTAGGTGTGTTTTAAGCAATGAGCTAAGAATTAACAAGAACCAACGTAATGTAAGCTAAGCCGTGGTGGTCAAGTACTTGTGTAATGATAAGATCTATTGGTGTTGTGTGCCTTTGTGTTTGTAGGTCAATTTCCGAGGATTGATTGACCATTTGCAAGAACCATTGTGAGTAACGTTATTGTAAAGATACGTTCATATGAATTATGTTCCAAATGAAATATGATAAGTTCTTATTTCTGAAATGATATCTGTTTTCGTGAACGAATATTCAATATTTGAAATCTATTATGGCATCCATAGATAGTCCCAAGTCATGGGGGACGGCATGAAAATGTGGGTCCATGACATACAAGTAATTACGAGATCTCGTTAGCCACTTCATTGTGGTGACATGTGTTTAATCGGTATCCGAAACCGATTACTCTAGTCGGAAGACGTTCTGTGATGTGTTTTATAGGATGTACCATTATTATATTCTGATATGAGAATGATTATGCTCTAATCTGTTTCCGCTATTTATGATATGTTCGGATTTCGTTCACTAACCCCTTTACCTTACTGTTATTCATTAGGCTTTAGCTCACTGTTTGTATATATGTATATATAAGTGGGCATTATGGAGATCGAGCCCGAAGGCTTTTGTCTGAAACTGTGTTTCTGTTGTCAGCCAACCTTTGCGCCTCACGTGGAGGTTCCCGAAGTGTCCTGTGTTCAGTCTTGTTGATTCTGTATATGTATGAGACTGGATTTGATTATGTTGGCTGTACTTAAGATACTGTAATGTGTGTGGGTATAATGTGTGGTTGACTATCGGATATGTATATAAAGTTTTAAATACTCTGTTTTATATAAGTCAGCACAGCTCAATGGACAACTGATCTGTTTCCGCTATTTATGATATGTTTGGATTTCGTTCACTAACCCCTTTACCTTACTGTTATTCACTAGGCTTTAGCTCACTGTTTGTATATATGTATATATAGGTGGGCATCATGGAGATCGAGCCCGAAGGCTTTTGTCTGGAACTGTGTTTCTGTTGTCAGCCAACCTTTGCGCCTCACGTGGAGGTTCCCGAAGTGTCCTGTGTTCAGTCTTGTTGATTCTGTATATGTATGAGACTGGATTTGATTATGTTGGCTGTACTTAAGATACCGTAATGTGTGTGGGTATAATGTGTG